TTGGACCTTGAATGAAAATACAACCTTGAAACATACACACTGCAAAGGGGAAAAGCTGTAGCAGACTACCAAGATAGACACAAACCGGATGTGAACCGAGTAGGGGTGAGTACTTATGGGACTACTGTACCAGAGCTATCAATTGCGCTTTGCACTATCTGAGATTGTCTCACTAGTTGCTAACTCAGCCAACTTTTCCTTATCAGCTAAATTTGAGTCATAATATTCCATGGAATTTCCATGAAAATTTTTACTGCGGAGTGAGTGTAGCAAGCGAACACCAACATAATCAGGATTTAAGAAGAACATATAGAAGGGGGTACAAACTCTCAAATTCATCACTTTTTACCAGAATGCATTGTATTTAACCAGAGTGCACTGTGCCACTTTTTGCCAGAGTGCATTGCACCACAAACAACATGAGGATATCACGTCGTCTTTTCGTGTGGATTCCAGTGAAGAAGGTTCAATAGTGGTTTTGTTTCGCTCTTATTTACCTGTAAAATGATGTGAAGGTGACCGTGCTTGACTTTCACAGCTCTTGCTTTTGTTCTTAATGCAATATGTGAAAGTTTTTAAATCTGGACGATTAATTGTGACATCTTAATTTTAAACTTAGTATAGCATTTCTTAGCAGTCTTGCCTTCTTGGTTGAATTCTTAAATGAAGAGAAATCGTCGTTACTAAAGCTTGTAGAATAATAAAAACAAACAGAAACTGTAGAACATGCTAATTTCATATATGCTGCGATGTATTCTTTTTCATCCAAACATGAATTTAAGCTAAAGCTTTAGCATTTTCACACAGCGTGATCGACATGTCCTTGACACAGTCTGTTATCATTCGGATAGAGGCATTTAATGTGTACCAGTACAGAGTTTATAAGTTAGATTTCTGCTCCTACAATTTCCACATCTTTCGATTTTCGTGATCTGTTAAAGGGGAGGTTGATGTGTATCGTGTTATGTCCAAACATAGTTCAGATCACTATGTGCTTTTTTGTCACTATCCCTTGTCATATCTTGCCATCATGAAGTTGATGCATACAAGGACAGATTCCCCACAATTTGACACTACTTAAAGAAGTAAAGGTTAATGTAAGTCTTGGAACACGCAGGTAGATGAATCACTGCGTAAAATATGTCACTATCAACAGAATGTGCTGCAGCATCACTACCTTTTAGACAACCAAGTTGTAATATTCATCTGCGGTAATGAACAGCTAGTACCAGGCAGACACGGTTGTCCAGTGGTTAGCATGATGGACTCCAGATCATACAGTTTGGGTTTAGGCCCTGGTTGGGAACATTGTATTGTGTTCTTGGGCATAACACTTAACACCCACAGTCCCTCCCTTCTCCCAAGTGTGTGAATGGGTACCAGCCAATTTAATGCTGTATAGTAACCCTGGGATGGACTAGTATCCCATCTGGAGGGGAGAGAACAAATACTCCTGGTAGTGTAATGCTGTAGAAACCAGGTTTAACTTTAAAAAGATGGAACATGCAAGCCTGTGCAGACTTTACCTTAACCAATGAACAGTTTGCATATGTTGTGTTACCAGGTTTATGATGTCTCAAGCTATGTATCAATTCATCCCGGGGGGAAAGCGATTCTAAGAAATGTGGGAGGAGACGCCACACAGGGATTTCAACAACAGGCTGCCCACAGAGTCGTAAAGAACCACATTGCATCTTTGCTGGAGAAGTTCTACATTGGTCGCATATCACCAGGACAGGAATGTTCGAAAACTGGTTAATGCTAATCCAGGATTAAAAGCGGATTGTGCTCTTAATTTAATCTGTCAGTTGATAATGTTTTCTATGGTTTTCTAAACTTTGAATTCATAGATTATAGTCATCAGTTAGGTGTCCACTGAGGGGAACATCCCTCTGTTAGGAAATTTTGACACAATAATAAAGCTTATAATATTTTTTTATTATCATATTGATGTTGCACAAAGTCAACATTAAGGACAAAAGAAAATAGACAAAAAGTCGCTGAAAAGATACAGAAAAATTAAAATCCAAATTCAGTGTAATCCTGGATTAGCTTTATAGTATTTTGAACAGTCAATCCCGGCAGAAGAGGAATATTGTGAAACAAAGTTATCAGGGTATGTTTAGTTCCAAAATTTAGGCCATTTGTGACTTGTGGTTTTGTTGACCATACAGCTGTAGTAAATCAATAAAATCCAATATTGGAAAATTCAATTGATTCAGTTGATATCAATTGCTGATTGCTATCGATTGATAAACATCGCTAACATTCAATAATTCCTGTCTCCAGGAATATTGATTATTATTGCATTGTGTTTTATGAGAACATGAAACATAGAAAAAAGCTTCTTCTTTTACATGCATTGTTCCTGGTCAGTATTTATAGCAGCAAAGTGATTACTGCTATGCTACTAGATCATATATTCCCTCTGACTTACACTGAGATCTATTCTTACATTTGTTCCCTAGAACAGTGACTCTTGTTTATTTTGCTTCATCTAAAATGGCGATGCTACAATGAGACTGGAGGTTTTTACACTGCTACTCTGGCTTGAGCTTCTTCTGGTGTCGTAAAACTAGCAAATAAGGATGTAAAGCCTGAAATGTTTCTTTTAGTTTGTTTCTGTTCTTGTTATTTTGTTGATGATTGTAAAAGATATGCAGGCTATGATAAAATGACTCTTTAAACCACTGCAGAAAAATGTTGTAAATCACTTTATTGGTGTAGCTTGTAAAAGGACAAAAACAATTTTTGATAACAAGTGCCCAGGGGGAGGGGGACTCCCAGAAAAATTGGGTGGGGGTGTGAGGCTCGCTTCCCAAAACCCTTACCCTATTTATGACCAAAATCTGTGATTTTCCCC